TAAACTTTTGGACTGGTAACATTTACTTGTACTTGAGTAAGATTTTACTCAAGTAATAGTACTTTTACCCAAGTAAAAAAAAAATTTTCACCTCTGCTGCTTACATTTTCATTTAAGATATGTACTGCCTTTGGATATAATGTAAATAACTATTGTTCCATTACTTTAAAACAAATCTGGGGATATTTCTGATGTAATTACTTTGCAACTGCTCTATTTAATTGGATGATTCTGTGTTAAAAAGAGTCTGTGTTGCTTCGCAGCTTTCAGTCTCCTGATTTAATGAATGCTAAATATCAATATAGTTTTAAACCTGCCTATTTAACTAACCTTTATTGTAACTAAATATTTAATTTTAAATCAAATCATATCATGCAACTGCATGGAATGAACTACCGGATAAAGTAGTCGATTCACATAACTTATATGAGTTAAAAAACAATCTTGACAAGTATCAACAAAAGAACGATAATTTAAGCAACTTATTTTTGTGAATGGTGGTGTGAATGGCTGTATTAGTGTGTAAAACACACTTGCTGTATTAATACAGTCACAGCTTTATTAATAAATAAATAAAATAAATACATTTTTTTTTATCAGAATTAAATTATATATTTATCTGGAGCTAAAAGCAAACTAATAATATTGGTTTGATTCATTTATAATACTTTATCTGTTATAAATTTATGCATACACTTTATTTATTCATATAAAATATATACTATATATATATTATTTAATATATGTATATATATATATATATATATATATATATATATATATATATATATATACATATATATATATATATATATATATATATATATATATATATATATATATATATATATATATATATGTATACATATATATATATATATATATATATATATATATATATATATATATATATATATATAAACTGCATATATATATGAAATATAACATTAATTTTGAATAAAAAATATATATACTTTAGGATATATCAATGCTTATGCAATCCTGGTCAAAAACTCAGCTATCCCAAGCAATTTTTTATTGAATATAGCCCCAGCCCCAGTTAAATTAAAAACCCCAGTCATATACTGTATATAACTGCTATATTTTTTTTTTTCTTTTTTTAATTCAGATTCACTCCCAACAAAGCTGCAACAACCACTAATAAATTAATTAATAATAAAAATTAAAGTTATAGAGCAAGGAAACGGTTGACAGAGGACTTAAAAAGTTGTATGAGTCATAAAAACATGAAGATGGAAGAGAGTTCCAAAGGGTTGAAGTGCGGGGAAAAAAACTAAACAAATAAAAGTTTTTAGAGCGTGCAGGAAGAGATACAGTTAAAGGATGACACTTTGCTGAATGGCAGTCAAGTGAGAATAAGTTTTGGTTGATGGAACTAGAGATGATAGCTTCTTTGAGCAGCAACCATGATAGTATTTTTAGAATAAAAAAAGAGATGAAAGTTTACAATGATGGGAAAGATACTTAAGTTTGGCAGATAGAGTAGGTCCAACTACATTTAAATGCATTTTCGGACCTTGTCTAGAGGTCAAAATGTATTTAAATGTAGTAAACCAGCCCAAATATGACAGCAGTATTCCATATAGGTGCGAATAAGAGATTAGTAGAAGTAGAGAATAAAATCAGGAGTAAAAAATGGAGAGCGCGATAAAGAGAAGCAACATAAGCAGATGTTAACCTAGCAATCGATTATATATATATTGCTTCTATGAAAGTTCATTAGTGAAAGGTAATCCAAGACATAAAGAAGAGGACTCAGTGAGAGGGTAGCCATTCATCAATAAAGAAATGTTAACAGTATTGCAATAGTTGTTTGCAGTTAAAAACTGAGTTTTGTTGGAGTTAAAATTTACAAGCCACTGCAAGCTTCAATCTGTAACAGAAGTGAGATCCGATTCCAGATCGACTGTCTGTTCTAAGCAATCGAAAAGAGAATTCTTTTTCTCAAGACAGGAGTATAAAGTTGAGTTATCAGCAAAAAAGCCACTTTAGATGTAAGCTTGTCTGGAAGGTCAATAATGTAGATAAGAAACAAAACAGAGCCGAGGATAGAACCTTGAGTTACCCAAGAAGTTACTGGATGTAAAGAAAAGTGCCTTCGATGATAACTTTAATAAAGAGGTTTACTAAAACTTTAATAAAAGACCTTCGATGATAACTTTAATAAAGAGGTTAGAAAAAAAAGATCTCAAAAATGTTCTCAGTTACACCATACAAAGCAAGCTTGTAAAGAAGGCCAGCATACCAAAAGTTATCATAAGCTTCAGATATATTAAGAGCAATAGCCCTAGCCTAGTTGCCTCCATCAAATGCACAATAAAATTTTTATAGTCACAGCAGTTAGTGAATCAGCCATAGTGAGAAAAGATTGAAAACCGTATTGATTTTTTGACAGTAAGTTATTTGAATCAAAATGGGATGTTCGAAACTTGTTGATCAAAGACTTAAAGACCTTGCTAAGATTGGGCCATAATTGAATGATCTCCAGAGTTTTTACAAATTGGTCACAGATGCCATTTTCTAACAGGCAAGAAAACAATATTCATTTAATTGTCAAAAATGTAAAAAAGGAATGTCGCAAATTGTCATATAATTGATTGTCAAATAACAGAATAAGGAATAATGTTGCGATTGAATTTAATGAACAGTGTCGAAAATAAAAAAAGGAATAATGTCGCAAAGGAGTTTAATGAATAGTAACAAAAATTAAATAATTACTATAAATGTGTGTTTAGATAACATGTCTGATGTCATACTGAAATAGTCTGATGCCAGGGGCTTCAGTATATATACCAACTATCTTATAGCCTGCTGCCACAAAGAAGTGACGCTACATCAACTGAGGGTTTGGGGTTTGGTAGCAATCTTTTCTTTCATTATTCCTTGTTTTTTTCTGTAAAAGTCGTATGCTATAAAAATAAGTAAAATGAGTAAGCAATTGCTGAAATTTACTATTAGGACACTGTTTCATTTTTACTATTTGCAACACTATTCCTTTTTTTGCTTTCGATACTATTCATTAAATTCATTTGCGACACTGTTCCTTTTTTTTGTTTTCGACACTATTCATTAAATTCATTTGCAGCACTATTCCTTTTCTTTATGACATTAGGCCTTTTAAATATATTCGACACCATTCTGAAGTTCATTTTTCAAAACTATTCCTGTCACCCAATGAAATGTTTAACCTAGCATAGTTAAAGACGCTATTAAAGATTTTCCAAAAGGTGACTAACTTTCACCATACGGCATTTGTATACAGTATATGCAGTTTAATGCAATATACACTTACAAAACTGCATTTTTCACACTTTTCTCTCATGAAAAAACAACTGGTTGGACACAAAATTTATTTTACTAATTTTTCAGATTAGATAAAGCTAGATTGTATTGCATAAACAAAAAATCATTAAAATTAAGCCAGAGATGTTTAAGCAATTGAAATTAGTTGCCTTTATGCAATTGTTGCCTTATACCACAATTTGTCACCATTGCTCTAGTGATATAAGCACTAATTTCCTTTTCTACCTACTCCCTCTATTTTTATTAATGATTATAAATTTTATGCTGATCAATCAACGAAAAATCAAAGGAAGGCTTCTTTAATTTGATGCTGAAGTGTTTAAAAATCATACTAAAAATGCTAATAGTTACCAAATTTTTTTGAACTTTAGAAATTCCTAACAAGATTTTTTAAAATTATGCTGCCTGGTTTTTACTACAGTGTAAAGTAACTAAAATTTCATTTTCATCAAAACTCCCATTGAAATTAAATTTTAAAAATTAAATATTAAAAAAATAGATGTGGTTATTTATAAATACTGAATGTTTACACAATTAGCTATTTATGCATGCTATGATGTACTTTTTTATTTTTTGTATTTATATCAACTGATTTAAATAAAAAGAACATGTTAGGAGTGTACCTCAGAGTTGTTAACAAGGTCAAAAGTAACAAGACCCTGTGTTACAAAGCCAAGGCCAATAGTTTTAAGTTTAAGGCCAAGAATAAGAGTTTCAAGACCAAGGCCTACGCAAACATTTTCAAGACCAAAGGCTTAAATTTTTGCCATATTTAAGGCCAATTATTAACAACACTGTAGGTAACAATTGCTGTGACAATAAAACTACATGTTGTAAAAATAAACCAAGGTTATGTGCAGAACTCGACAAAGTCAATAAGAAAATATACTTGTAGATATATATGAAGGTTGAAAACAAAAATACAAATACAATACATTTCATATATATATATATATATATATATATATATATATATATATATATATATATATATATATATATATATATATATATATATATATATATATATATATATATATATATGCCAAGGCCAAAGCAATCAAGGCCAAGGCCAAAATTTTCAAGGCCAGAACAAAAGCCAAGGCCAACAGTTTCAAGACCAAGGCCAAGGCCTTAATTTTTGGCCCTAAGGCAAGGGTAAGGGCAAGATTTTTTTGCTTTCTCTATTTAACTTAGTCAATGCATCTATACTCTCTGTATGTTGCTCAATGACCAACAATCAAAAAGTGTGACAATATTACTCAAAAACAGACATGATTTAAAAAAACAAAACATTTTTGCAATAAGAATGTTTTAAAATAAAACTTTACGTAATACAACAGAAATTTAAAACAAATTGCTCTTTGAAAAATTTAAAACTAATACTTGATTAGAATAAAAACCGGGCAGAAAAATAATTTTAATCATAGTTTTATCACGTTGTTGCATAATTATGAACTAAAATTGTGTTTTTAAAATATTGCGAATATTAGCATTTTATCAGTGTTACTGTTTCTTATTCTGAAAACACATGCAATTTTTATTTGTCTTTTTATCTTGTCACTATATATAGATTTATTATTGTTGTTTTTAGCAATAACAAAAAAATAAAATATCTTTTACTTATATTCTTTAAAAGTTATTATTTAAAGAGTACTTGACACATACAATCTTACCACTATAAGTTCTTTCAGGGCATCTTAATGAATTCGGTCTTTGATTTTTACTTCCTTTCCTTCTCCATTTCCAAGGTTTAAACAAAAGTCTAAATCTTTTACTAAAAGCTGATCCAAAATGTCGTTTTTTTTGAGGAGAAGAGTCATTTTTATTATTTGAAGTTCCATTCTCTTTTGATTTACTATTATTATGAAGAAATTCGTTGCTAGATGCTAAGTTAATATTGCTGTGCTTAGCTTTACTGCTTTCATTGTGTGATTTTATTTCCATTTCACCTCGTACTTATCTCCCATTATATATACATATGTCGAGATGACAAAAGTAACTTTGATGAAATTTAAAATCAAAAAATTCATAAAAAGCAAATAGCACCTATAAATAAACCATAAATCAAGAAAATCAACAATACAAATATTACAATTACAACCGTCGAATTCCTTTCATGTCATATTTTCATGTTGTTTTTTTTTAGGAATTTATATTATTAAAACAAGCCTTGATGTTCCCAAAATAACTTAAAGATGATTAATTAATATTTAAAATTCATCGAGTCGAGGAATATTCAGGCACCGAGCCAGAGAACATTATTAAGAGTATGCAAAACACAACAGGAGCTATTTTTTCTCCCTGCATAGTTTTTAAAAAAAATATTACGTGAAATGCGATTAGTTTTTACGCTAAAATGTTTCAAAAAGAAAATTGGTATTTCCTATAAAAAGTTTAATTTTATAGAGAATTTTATAAAAATTTTATAAAATACCAACTCAAATTTGGTAGATCATGTAGTCTTATTTAAAAAATTTTAAGTTATTTTAATTTTTTAATTAAAAAACTCTTCGTGATTTGAGAAACTATCCTAAAAAAACTGTTTGTTACATGAAGTCTCCAAGTTTTTTCTTTCTAATAAATATTCATGGTTTTAATGCGACCTAGCGCGGAAAAACATTTAATGAGTAACTTTCCGCTGTCTTCCTTGACAAAATTGCTTTTGTGTTCAGAGTGAATTCGAACCTTAGGTTTGAATCCTTACTTACTATTAATTATTTATTTTATTGTGTCTATGCATTAGTTTTTTTGTTCTTTCATAACTCAGCGTCCAAACAAGCTGTAATCGCTTTAAAGTATATCAGTAACATACATAAATTTGTGTAATAATAAAAAAAAGTGAGCAAAAAACTTGGTAACATGTAAAAGTTAATTTTAACACATTTTCAACTAGTAATATAGATATAATTGTGTTAACAAGCGCGATAAACTTGCAGGAGGTAAGTCCTATATCAAAAATCGCTGCGCAATGTTTTTAGAATATTAAATTTCAATAATACTTTTAAAAACAAAAGTTATAATAACACAATATAAAATAAATCGCATTAAAAACAAACAAAAAAGTAGTAATTAAATAAAAAAATATGATTTAAAAAAAAAAATCATTATTAAGATTTTTATGCTCTTAAAATTTTTAATTTTTTTTTTTGATTAATTAAATAAGGTTGTAGATCACAATTTAAAACTAAAAAAAATTTTTTTTATAATGAATTTTTAAGTAAGGGGCTGTCCATTAATTATGTCTACAAAATAAGGAGAGGGGGTCGAAAAATATTTGACAATAAGGAGGGGGGAGTTCAAAGGATGATGACGTCAACAATATTACTCTTTTAAATAAACTTAATAACTTAAAATAAGGAAAATTAGAAAGCGTTTGTTGTCCACTCGCTCAACCTTCAGTGTCTTAATATAGTAATTTATATTCCTACTTTTTAAAAACCGTGTTGTGCTTTAAAAAGACCCGACACATACAGAACTAAATAAGCACGCACAGATGTTTACTCACAACACTTTTATTTTTTCAAAGTTGTTGGTGATTAGTTTGCTGTGCAAACAAAAAAGATTTATGCAAAAAAAAAAAAAGATTTTGTCGACTTGAAATAAAGATGTTAGAAGTTCTTAAAAAACTGAAAAATTTTGTAAGTTGTAACTTTGGCTCTTCTGTCTCTGTCAAAGGTTACCGACCTCTAATTTGTGCAATTTGTTAAACGCATTTTTTATTATATTACAGGGGCGGATCCAGCATTTTTTGGTGTTTGAGATAGCTAACTTCCAGACATGGGGCAAACTCCAAACATTTATAAGTTTATACTTATATCAAATAAGGATGGTTTGCAAAAAATTGCGATGGTTGGAGCCTGGGAACAAAAAAAACCCAAAATTTGAGACGTACCTGCCCCAAACGTGAGAGCAACAAGTTGATAAAATATTTTTTGTACTATTCTCAACAAGACTTATATTTATCCATAAATTTAAAATTTCATTGTAAAATATTTCAGCGTTCAAAAATTATGACCATGTAAAGTTTAAATCCCCCTCAATTCGAGGGGGTTACAATTTTTATATGGTCATAATTTTTGAGCGCTAAAATATTTTACGATGAAATTTAAAATTTATTGATAAATATAAGTCTTGTTGAGAATAGTACAAAAAATATTTTATCAACTTGTTGCTCTCACGTTTGGGGCAGGTACGTCTCAAATTTTGGGGCTTTTTTGTTCCCAGGCTCCAATAATTGCAATTTTTTGCAAACCATCCTTATTTGACATAAGTATAAACATATAAATTTTTGGAGTTAGCTACATGGCTGGAAGTTAGCTATCTCAAACACCAAAAAATGCTGGATCCACCCCTGTATTAGATTATGTAAGAATCAATTGGCTTTCAATGTGAAATTGGATTTGGTCTAAAGTTGAAATGAGAAGGATTGGTAGGGTTAGACGGGACAAAATGAGACAGCGGGGCAAAATGAGACAGATTGCATTTATAATTATCCTAACCGTGTAATTTATTGTTTTAATGATTTTTAAAAGCTTAGTTGTAAATAAATTATTTAGTGTTACAAAAAACATCTTGAGTCACTTTGAAATGAAGATGACAACCATTTTCTTGGCTATATGACAATTACGAATTTCGATACGTTCTATTTTTAATTTTTCTTTAAGTTTTTTTATCTTACAGAGTGGAAAAAAAATTATATCTAAAGTTAGTGTTTTATTATCATCTTTAGGCATTGCTCTTTCATTTCCATATATTGATATTTTATTTTTATGACAAAATTGCCAGGAAATTAAACAATTTCGATGCCAACATTTTGCGTGGCAAAACGAGACGCTTTGGTTGTTTGTTTTTTTTGTTTTGCCGATATCAGTCGTGTTTATTTAGAAAGTTAAATATGGTTAGAAGCTATAAGAAAAAAACTAAATGTGGCAATTTTTTTGAGCAGAGCATGTTATGTTAAAATTAAAAGAAATCTCACTGAGAAAAGCTTTGACATTTAACATAAATAAAGATGCTTTACACAGAAGGATTTAAAGAAAATTAAAGAGTTTAGACTATTATTATACATAAAAAATCACTTGGTTCATTTAAAAAAGTATTGCCTGATGATACAGAAAGTCAATTAGTTAACTACATAAAAAAATGGATTGTCTATAAGTAAAAATTAACGAACTGTCTTCCAGTATGTTGAAAAGTACAAAATAGTTCATCCATTTAACAAATATAATGGTGTTGCAAGAAGAGATTTTGTAATTGGGTTTTTAAAGAGACATCCAGACCTTTCAATCAGAAAGCCTTAAAGGTTGTTTTTAAATCGTGTTTATGGTTTAAACAGCAATTCTGTGAACGTTTATTTCAATAATATAGGAATTAATATGAAAAAGAACAAGTTTAAACCTCATCAAATTTTTAACTGTTATGAATCAAGCATTCCAACTGTTCATAAATCTGCTAAAGTTATAACAATAAAAGGAAAACATTGTGTTTCTTCTGTAACTAATGGTGAACGAGGTGTAGTGACAACTGTTGTTTTGAACTGCCTAAAACTTTTTATAATATAGAATGTGGATCATGGTTAGATGAGCATCTTGGACGAAAATAACAAATGATCAACTGATCAAAGGTATATTTTTCAAAGCCTATCATAAAGCTGCCTCTGCAGAAGTTGCCTGTTCTGGCTTTCGTGCATCTGGAATTTATCTTTTGTTTCGTGATATAATTCCTGACATTAAGTTTAATAATGACAAAAGCTCTAATGCCAACTTATGTAAACCTGATAAAATTGATTCAAAAGTTAATTCAAGCACTTTATTACTATTGATGTCAGGATGTTCAGAAAATATTGATTTTAATATAATAATACCCTGTTTTTCTAATATTTTAGCTATTTCAAAGATCACTTTATTACCAAGAAAAAGAGAAGAATCACAGATAATAACAACATCACATTATAGAAAATCACTATTTGAATCCTCTGAAAAATTAAAAAAGTTAAAAGAACAAAAAATAGAAAATAAATGTGTGTTAGAAAAGGGTAGAAAAAGAGTTGAAAGTTTAAGTGTTGAAAACTGGGAATGTTATTTTTGTATTTGATTATGAAGTATGGCTGCAAAAGTATTGAAGTAGAGTCAATGTTTAAAATGTACAACTTTGGCTCATTTGGGCTGTTGTTAATTTCAAAGTACTGGTAAAGCATTATGTGATTTATGTGACTAGTGAAAATGAATTTGATCATATGATTAACTAGTGACAGTTTGATTATGTATTTTATTTATTTGATTTATATTATTTATTATTATTAGCTGTATTATGTTATAAAATGTTTATCTTGCTAAACCTCTTAAAAGTCTGTTTTGTTTATCATTTATTTGAATTACTTAAAAAAATCTGTCTCATTTTGCCCTACATAGCAGGGCTAAATGAGACAGGATAGGTGTTTTCAATAAATGATCTCTGGTGACCAAACCACTACAATTTTGCTACTTATATTTTATAATGTTAGTAGTATAGTAAAAAATTTGAAAAATATCAATTTCTTTTTTCAAAAATTCATAGACGGCCTGTATTAGATAAATTAGTGCTTAAGTGTCTCCCCTCGTTACCCTATATTACAGATTGTGACTCTGCACTGTACATAAATTATAACAAATATTCAACACTATCATCGCAATTGATTTGTTCAGGGAAGGTGGGAGGTTATTGACAACGACAAACGACTGCTACATTTTTTATAAACATCAACATATTAGAACAAAAAATAAATAGTAACTTTTATTCATAATGCTAAAAATTATAAAGGTGTATGAAACTGCCTAGTTATTTTTTATTTATCTTAATTTGAAATCTTTACTGTTTAGTTTTTCTATAAAGATTCAATTAGGGAGCCTGTTTTGCGTAAGATTTAAAGTTAAGTTTTAATTCATAGAGATCGTAAAAAATTAAGGAACACTTTTGTGCACAAGACATAAAATGTTGTCGTATGGTTAGCTCGCGTAACGTAAAAATATTCATAATTTTAAAAAGTGGTTTCTCATATTTGCTTTTATTTTGAAACTTTATTATAATTAAAGCATGTTTCTGTTTTCGATTAAAGTATTTTTTTTGTTAAACAAAAATGCCTTAACCCAAAAAAAGTGT